CATTCCATTTCCTGTCAGCTGATTGGACAGGAATTAAGTTACAGCAGCTGTTACATCACAACAGGAATGTATGACATCACAAACCCCTCATGGCACGTGTCTGATGTTGTTTTTATCTTTATGAACAGAAGCTGTGGCTCAGAGAGTGCATTATGGGATCAGCTCTGTGCGATGTCTGGGCTGTGACCTCACTTCCTGTCCAATCAGCTTCCATTGTTCCCTCAGGTCAAACTGGTCAAACTGGACCAGTTGTTAACTACAGCTGGGGGACTAGGTACCGTGAACTACACTGACAGGTCTATAAAAAATACTGGGAACACTGGAAATATGAAGTATTTATATTCTCCATGAAGACTTTACTGCGAATAAACTGGAATTTAACTGGTACTACAGGGATGTGGATAAATATAGGTTATGAAACACTGAACGTTCGAGGTAGTACAACACAAAAGTGCTGACATATAATTTTTCAACTTTCCTTAAAAGCCTTCAAAGACACTCTTATACCTGATCAGGAACGCCCCCTGAAGTCGCAAAAAACAACGACTTGGAAACTGCAGAGTCATACTGGGAACACTGGTTTAAAAAAGAATAGCTGAAAATCCAGTGCGATAACACTACCAGGATCAGACTGATAATGTATTTGAAATATATTGCTGTATACTAGGAATATATACCTTGGCTTGAGTGGGATACTGGGACAACAGCAAATACTTTTCCAAGTCATATCTTCAGTAAACTGTATTTTAAGTTACATTTCACCAGTTTTCCCAGTATCCTATATTTCCTATATTTTTAATAAATTAAAAAAAACGGTCTAAATTGTTAATAAAGTTGATCTTCTACTACAAGTGTTGCTGGAGCATTTTGACCTTTTCTGATTCCTATATTTTCTCATGGACACATTCTGTTCCCAAATAGATTGCAATATCCAGTACTTTCCCAGTGTTCCCACTATGGTTCATACACATAATAGAATATATCACCAGTGTATGTACAATAAATGTAATTACACTCTCAGTATTCTCCAAATGTAAAACCAGTTATGGTCCAGTTATATTCCAGTGGTTTCCCATTTTGGTCCAAGTGAATTCCCATTACACACCTCCATTATTCCAGTGTTACCAGTAAATATACAGTTTGCTCTGTTTCCACCATGATGCCAGTATGACTCTAATATATTCCCAGTAATATCCAGTGAAAGTGTAAACTGGTTGTGTGTACAGAAACTAAGCTGGGAGTGGAAGCTGAAACCTTACTGGAATAGTCCTGGATCATACTGGGATCGTCGCGGATATGTTGCCATGTGAGGTTGTCTCTGCTGCTCAGAGTCTAAAATGGAGCTGAGATGAGGAGAAGCTGAAGAGGGGGCTGATTGGGGAGGAGGAGGAGGTGAAAGGGGTTGTGGGTAACAAAGCCTCTTTCCTCTGAGC